CTTTCTCTCTTTCTATCACTTATACTTCTATTGTCTTATTGTTATTATATTTTTATCGGCATAATAACTGTTAGAAAAAAACAAAATAATATAAATATTTATATAACATAAAACTAGACAGACTATAATATTACCTTTAATGTTATTATGATGATCGTTTAGACGACGGCGATCAGTTAAAATTATTCAATAATAATGAAAAAAAACAAAACAAATATAATAAATAAGAAAATTTACTCGTCTTCTTAACACTAATGTCATTGCATATAAGTTTCGAATTATTTTAAAGTGCCTGCTAAAAAGAGCTCCACCCGTTTTTTTCTGTTATTTCAATATTTTTGTCATACTCTCTTTCTCTTTTAATAATAATATTTTTCTCTGTTTTTTTGTTATCTCAAATTCTCAAATATTTATTTTGTTTTTATACTCTTAATATAAAGGAAAATTTTTAAGCAACACTAAAAAAGAGTAATTATTTTAATAACATAACATTAATCTGTTATTTAAGTTTTGATATGGAATTTATTTGTAATATGTGCATGAATAGAAAATAGTTATTTGAAAAAATATTTTTAAAAGATTTTTTTTTAGTGTAGTTCGTTAAAAAAATTTAAATTGAGCTTCATATTTTTTAATATTCTAGATAGAATACTATTGCATGAATTCTACTTTTACCGATTTAGATAAATTACGTAAATTCAATTATTGATCGCCAAAGCATTCTTAAATTCATTCTACGACTGATAACAATATAAATTTCCGTAAAACTATTCTCTATTAAAAATTTTATTAAATCAAAATCAAAACACAAGCATGAATTTATCAACTGTTTCTAATATTTTCAATATATTCTAGAAAGTAAGAAAAAAACATGAAATAAAAGGAAAATTATAGTTAAACAACAGACGGAACTCAAAAAACACTTTTCCACACTTTCTACTAAAATCAATTCATTCCAATTTTATTAAAGACGTCCAATTTTAAAATTATTGTGAACATGTTTACAATATAAATAAATTATACAGATATAAACATGTTAAAAATAATTTATCCTTAATATGTCAGTAACAAACTGTTATCAGTAACATTTTACATAACCGCAATTTCATAGCAGTTGGCTTGTTCTCATTTAAACTGTAACCAAAAATTATAAAAACAGAGAAAATAAAATTTCGTATAGGTTTTGCAATATATTTGAATCTTGAAAACATTTAATATACAAGTATATTTATAAATTTACATAGGCAGAAAATATACAAAAAAACTAACAACCTTAAGCAGAGCTTTAAGAGTCACTCCTTTTCCGTGACGAATAACTTAATTTGAATTGACAATTACGGCTCATATACGTTTGTTATTTATGTTTGATTTTTTTTTTTTATTAAATTTTCGCCGTTTCACAATTTTTTTTTTTTATTTGAATTTTTCATTTCTATAAATTTAAACTACAAAAAAAAAGGAATTTATTTGTTTAGAGGCTCCGATTTAAATTTCACAATTATTGTTGTAACTCAACTTAATAATCAATGGTATAGCAAAAAAAAACGAAAATGAAAAAATTTGAATAGAAATATTGCAGAAAATTAAAGTAACAACGAGAAAAAATTAAATAAATTTTATAAATTTATGTACATACAAAAGGTGATAAAAATTAAATTTGGAAGGCCATTGATTGAGAAAAAATTAATGGTCAATTTTTTGTAATAAAATTGTCACTTAACAACCAACATTTCTGAAGTGGCTAAAATTATAGTCCTTGTTCTAATCACATTGATTTGCTCCGAAATAATTATTTATAACTTCTGTAGAATTCAGTAAAATTTATTTTATTGATTTTAAAATTCAATACTAGTCGAGTTACCACTAGTGAAAATTCCAACAATAATGAAATACATAAAATAAGAAAATTAAAGCTTCTCAATTTGTCTGTAGATTCATAAGATTAAGACTCATTTTATCTGAATACTGAAAGTAAATTGCAATTTTTTAAATAAAATATCCGCATCTTTTATAATATGATATAATCTAGATACTTTAATATTTTTGAAAATTTGGTAGATAAGCAAAAAGATAACTTATACCAAAATTAGTGCTGAAAACAGTATAGTTTCGACTGATTTGAAACAATCTTTACTTTTAAAAATTTACTCATTTTTTAATAGTAAAACTTCTTTTATTAGACATATCTGACATTTTTGCCCGAATCTGCAGTCGAAATTTTTAATATGGCTAATAACCTGAAAATTGGTAATTCTGGGGACCCAATTTTACAAAAAAAGATTCCCTTTCCTTTTAATCACACAAAGCTCCCAAAAAAAATTAATTATTTTGTTATACTTTATTCTTCATCCAATTTGCATTTTATTTTGAACTGAAATATTTTAATTTCAAATTTGAAGTCTCATTTACATAAACCAAAAATCTTTTTTTTTTTATTTAAAATTCAAAGTGTTAAATAAATCTTTCATCAAAGACATCTACAAAAATTTCAATTAAATATTGCTGAAAACATCTAAATCGTATAAAAAGAGAAACAAAAAGAACAACTCAAAATACTGAAAAAGCAAAGCAATACTAAAAAAACCAAATGTGACAAATTCATTTTAATGAAATAAAAATTTAAAAACAAATAATGATGATAAATTCATCGATAAATCAACTTTTACCCATAACCATATAGTACTGAACAAGAAAAAAAACATCAACCAATTAAGCTTTTCTGACCGATTTTCCAAATAAACAAAAAAAAACAAAAACCAAATGAATAAAGTAAAAAATCAGTGTAACAACAAAATTCCAAAGCAGAAAACTGCGCAATTTTTCTTATTATTTTTTTTCTTAATTTTTTTTTTACATACCACCCAACCAAAATTGAAGATTTTATGCAAGAGAACGTCAGATTTAAATTAACATTTATTGAATCGAAACCAAAGTAAAATGTAAATTTACTGAAAAACGAACCGAAAATTCACTTAAGAGAGGAGTATGTAAAATGGAATTACAGATATTCATGTTATCATGTTAAATTTCAATTAACATTTAAGTTTCCATTAGATACTGTTAAAGTTAAAAGAAATATTGAAATAACAGATAATTCCAATTTCATATACGATTTGCAATTAAGAAAACCGAATACATATGTTTTTCTAAATAACATAACAGGTAACAGTTGGAGAATTGGAGCATTTTTTTTTCATATCAGTTTTTCTTTTCTTTTTTTATTTTTTCAGATTACATCTGTTTTGTTTTTTTGTTCCTTTTTTAATCAATTATATCATTTTTAGAAAAAGAAGAGAGAGAGAGAGAGAGATCTAAATGAAAATGAGAGAGAAAAAGCGAAAACAAAAAAGAACAAAACCAGTTCGTGGACAGCGAACGACAAAATAATTTAGTAGTGTGCAAAAAGCACGTTTGATACAATTATTTTTTTTTTTTGTTGTTTTCCTTGTTTTTGGTTTAATTTTTTATTAATTTATAAATTTTCCGTCTCATAAATTTTAATTTTTTTTTTTTTTGAGTTTGTTATATTTATGTCTGTATTTATTTTGCTCTACTATTATGTTAAATGTTATGTTATATGTTATATTAATGAACATTATTTTTATTAATATAATTTTTACAGAACAGAGACAACAACAAAATTATAACAGTAGAATCATCTTGAAGTTAAACAGAAAAAGTAGCAATAATATATAACAGAAGTACGAAGACGACGGGAACAACGATGATAAAAACGACGGGACTTGTGAATTTTTTTCTTATGAAGATTATTATTGAGATGATTTCTAGTATTTTAAAATTTTTGTAGATTTCAGTTTAGTTTTTTTTTACCACCGCTTCTGTTACCATTTTCTCGGTTCACTGCAATTGTTAAAATTTAACCGATATTACAGTTTTGATTATTTTGATTTTATTTTTTCTGTTTAGTTTTCTTTTTTGTTTTTTATTTTTTTCTTTTTGTATTTTTACTAGTTTTTATTGTTTTCTTCTTGATATTCTTCAAGTTTTCTTTGAAAATTTAATACAAATTTTCAGTTCGAATTTAGTGCTCGTGGTTGAAGTTTTAGAAGAACTTCGAACGGAAAAACCTCTTCCTTTTTAAAAAATTTTTTTTTATTTTTTTTTTATTTTATTATTTTTTTGTTTTTAATTTAAATTTTCTGTGTATAGTAAAACTTTGTTAAAATAAAAAAAAAATACAAATAATAAAGAAAAATCTTAATGATTGCGTTTTATTTTTGGAAAATTAGAAAAAGAAAAATATATACATGTATATATTAGTGTGTTATACAATATATTGAGGAAAATTTTTAGAGGAAAACTGTTATATCTGATATATTTTAGTACTTTCTTACTTTTGTTTTTATTTTAATTCTTGTTATATGTACTCTTTATTTTTATGTTATTCGTTATCGTGATTTTTATATGGTAATCTATTGGGATATTAAATGGATATTACAACTTAAAAAGGATATACATATCAAAATATTATAAATAGTGAAGTTAAGAACTAAATTAAAAATAAGTAAGAATTAAAAAAATTGAAATAGAAAAAGAATGATTATTCAAACATTCAATTTAAGCAATCAAAAGGAAAAACAGAATATTTAATTAAATTTGGATTACTTTGATTATATTTGATATTTTAATAACACAAATTTCAGGAACAAAAAAAAATTTAAAGGATTATAGCAAAGTATTTAATGTTTAAATGTATGCAAACAACATGTTAAAATATTTTCTGTTCAATTAAAATAAAAAAGTAAGAAAATTAAAAAAAAATATTCAAAATTAATCAAAAATGGAAAAATGTGATTTTGAATTAATTTAAAGTGATGAAGTTTTGATTAGTTTTAACCATCTAATTTTATAATCTAAAATATAATTTAGAAAGAAGAAATAGTAATTTAAAATTAACCACAAGATATGTAAAGCGATTCTGAATTATAAATACGATTTAAGTAATAATTAATTATCAAGTGTTTATTATTAAATTAAAAATCAAAACTTAAACTAAAATAAGAAAACATCTTCCATAACTATAACATTAAAAAAATATTTTTAAGTCATATAATTGAATTTATTCTAGTGTAATAGTTTTTTTTTTTTAAATTTAATGAAATAAGTGTATAATCGATCATAAGTGTTATTTTAGAGAAAAAAAAATTAACAAAAACCATTTTATTGAAAGAAAATTTTCTCAAATTCTTGGAATATTATAAAGAAAACTTCTTTCTATTGTGGATTATGTAAAAAATTATTCATAACGGTAAGTAAGTTTTAAATTATTTGAAGAAAATTATAATTAATCTCATTTGCAAAATATTAGAAATATCTTAAATTCTTATTCTATTACAATGTAATGCGATCACAATTTAAATTTTAAAAATTTAATAAATAAATTGAAATTTTAAATTCAAACAACTTTTGACTGGCATTTCAAAAATTACAGCAGATAGTCTTAAAATCAGGCATTCCGCAATTAAAAAAAATCACTCTTTATTTAAAAACGAAAGACTCAAGCGAAAAACTTTTAATCAATTTTAAATGAATTGTGTTGACACTTACAATGTTATTATAACACTTACATTTACCAGTTCTATTATACAGAGTGTTTCGCATAAGGTGGAACATAATTTCAGGAATAATACTTTCATCAATTTCCAGTAAAAAATTGTATGGGGGCGTGGTCCAGATGTACTCATTTTAGAGCTACAGCCTGTTGAAAAAAAATGTACCGGACTTTTCCTGTATATGAACAAAAGCTTATAAATTCGGAATCATACAATATAGAGTTATTATTAGAAGCGTGTTTTACAGGCGATTGACTGTTCTTTATTTTTGGCCTTACTATTAATTTGATTTCAACCATAGTTTTTGACATACAGATCGTCAATACAGTTCAGAATTTTTGTTTTTATGTTTTTTTTTTAATTTTTTTTTAAAAACTCGAAATTTTTCGAAAATTTTTGTTATTATAATTTTTTCTTTTTTTTCGATGCGTTATGATAAGATCTAAAAGGTAACCCGTATAACATTTTACTCTATCTCTCATAGTTTTGCTAGTAAAACATGATGTGTTCAAAAAACATTCGAAAAATGCACATTTCATACAAATTCCAAATTATACATAACTAAACTAAAAAAATATATATGAATGTTGTTTATATGAAAAATGCATGTTTTTAAATTTCATTCGTATGGACTTTAGCATATTTTAACGCTATTTTTTCAATTATATCGACCAATTTTCCGATCGATAATTAATTCAATTATATCGACAATTCCAATTGATAAATAGTAACTAATTTTAGTGAAAAATTGCAGCTAATAGTGCTTAAATCTATTCAGTTATTCAATTAATAAATCTTCAGTTATTCAATCAATTGTTAAAAGCTATAATATCTTGTCAGATCAGAAAAATCTTGTCAGGAACCCTTAAATATACTTAAATTTGTAATCTTCTAAATACCTTTACAATTTTTCATTTTCAGAAAATTAATTTTAATTAATATTTTTAAACTATTCGTTTAAATGTTCGAAAAATACTAACGATGTTACGGCAATATTATACAATTGAATAATTGAATATTTGAATAAATAAAGTTTGATATGCTCTATAATTAAGTGCAATTATTAACAAACTTTGAAAATAAATGCAAGTATTTAGATGACGATTGAGAAAGTTGGAATTTAAAACTTAACGTTATACATTTATCACTTAAACTTTTATAATCATTTCTATTATATGCGTCATCTTAAAAATTGTAGCTTCTGCATTGTATAAGCCCTATTATAAAGCTATTAAATTTCCTCTTAAAGTTAAAATAAAAATTTACATTAATGCAGGGGGCGTTTACAAAATCTGATTTTTTTTTTTTGTTATTTTGCAAGTAGCTCAAGAATCTCATTATAAAAAATGTCAATGTAAATTTTTTTTTTTCAATTTCATGTTTTGTAAACTTGTAAAAAATTCAATAATTGAATTTTTTTTTTTCAATAATATTTTTGGAGTTATAATTCCAAAAACAAATTTCTATATCAAATATTTTTTTGTTTCTTTGATTTATGGCTAATTGAACATAAGTAAATCTTCAAGAGCTTTTTCAAAAAAAAAAAATGATTTATGTTTTGTGTATCTACATATTTGACATCACATTAAATTTAATTTATTTACTTCTGTTGCTATTGCAACTTGTCAAAACCAGGGTTACCATATTATGATTATATTTCAAAAATAATATACCAAAAAAGAAAAAATTACATTTTATTTATAAATATGAATTACTTTAAGTAAAGCAATTTATGTTAATGTATGCAAAGTATTACAATAATAAGAGATTCTTATCTCTTCAAATTTCAAATATTAAATTATAATTTTGAAATAATTTTTAATCTTAACTAGTAATTTGATGCTAGCAAATGTATAAGTATCAGCATTGTGCATTAATTTACAGTTTAAGCAATATTTTAAATTACTGTTAAAAATTCTTGGCTAATTTTAGTAATATTCCCAAAGTTATGATTTGAGAACTTAAAATATTTTGGTTGAAATTAGTATCAATTAATTTTTATAAAATTTTCAATCAATTAAATTTAATTATGCAATAATATTTGTAATACTATTACAACGTAGAACAAAGTAAAAAAAGCTTACATAATTTTCTTGTTTCCAAGTAAATCTTATGTAATTTTATGGCTCGATCCAGGAATAAATTGTAATTAAAAAAATTTTCAATAATGTATATAGAAAATGCTAAATTTCTTATTAGAATATTAAAAATGTTTTCTCTTGTTAATCTTAAAAATTTAATAATAATTAGCTACGTTAACTAAACCTTTTGTTAGACTCTTGTCAATATAAAGAAAATAAAATAAAAAAACTTCAAATTTCTGTAATAAAGTAAATAGAAATATGCAATTGTAAAAGAACAAATACCATACATAATAATCGCTACTGTTATCTTATTGCAAGTTTATTTTATATAGAAATTTTTCAGATTTTTAACAAGATCCCCATTATCACATGAGTTTTCACCAGTTATGAGTTGTTAACATTCAGAGTTTGTTAAATGCATAATAGGAACTAAGTGGTCAAATTAAGAATTAATAGGAAATTAGTTTAATTTCTGTTCCGTTTTATAGATTAAATTATCAAAATTAAATTTCAATGATTTTTAAAAATTCAAATACAAAAATTGTACTTAGTTGTTTCCGGAATTGCTTACTTCAATAAAATTATCAAATTTAGAATTTATATGAATAACTTTTGTAATAGTTTGCATTTATTAAATAAGAAGTAGTTTAATTATTAAATTCCTTTCTGTTATTCAATTTTTTTTGTACTACACATCCTCTTTTATACTTATTACAAAATGGGTTAATTAGTTTGAATTAGTTTGTTGTTGTAAAAAACGAAAGTAATTTAAATTAAAATTTATTGTTTTTTTTTTTCTTTTAATTATTTCAGAGAATGTAGAAGTTCCTAATGACATTAACTACTTTTAAGGGAAAATCTGCAATGCAAAAATAATTTAATGACAATATTATAGAAATTAAAATTCCTTTTCTCTTAAAGTCTTTCATTAACAGTATTTTAAATGAATTCTAAATTCAGTCTGAAACAAAAGACTTAAGGAAGGAACCTTTTTTTCAATCATAACTATATGGTTTAAAATTAATTGAATTTTCCCTTTATAATTTAATTTTGAAAAAATTTTAATAATTTTTGGGATTTATAATGATCACTGTTGCTATAATGGTAGTATAATATACTGCCATACAAAGGAATCATATTATAATTGATAGCTATAAAATGACTATTTGCTAGTAGTTATTAAAATTTGAAAACAAAAAAGTAGTATAAAAATGATAGAAATTTTAACCGAATTTCAATAAAAAATTAATTTCAAAATATCAAGATTTACCGTTTTCGTTCTCCAGAATTAATTGCACAGTGTTCCACTCAGTTTCTGTACGGAAATGCCTTTTGTAGTTATAACTAACACGAATGTAGCTATTATGTTTATAATCGTAAGTGTCTGTTTATTTCATATATGTCACAAATTTCTAACTATTAGCTTAACAAAAAAACCCAACAGTAGCCTAAAAATAAAATTCATTGTTTTGGCAATATGCAGCAATAAAATGATCAGATTTTTTTCACTAAAAATACGAATCTTTTAGACATTAACGCTAATACGTAACAAAACTGTTAAAAATTGTAAGATGAACGTAAGAAATGTGAAACAATAAAACTAAATATAATGTGGCACTTCTTGAACCTTAAACATAGCACATATTTAAACTTTAGAAAATTATCAACAATATTCATTAACTACTAAAATAATTAATAGCAAATAAATATGGTTAATAATTTTATTTCTTACAATTTTCATACAACATAAGATTATAATTTATATCCTGTGTGATATCCTTTAATTAACTTATGAGCATTTTTAAATAGATATAATAATTTTAATGATATATGATACAACTTTCAACATTAATAATATTAAAATAACAATATCTAATTCCTATTAAATATTATTGAACTCTTAATATTATTTGCCCTCCCCCCTGCTACCCAGAGATTGATTACAACATTGTCAAAACATTCGATATCTCATAAGTTTTAATATAAGACCAATAGGCTAATTAATGTTTTTATTTACAACTTTATTTTTCCTATTTCCGTAGAAAAACCTATAAAAATTTTATTAAAATCTACATTGAATTTTCACATGTACTCGTACAATAAATTTTCTTTACAACAACAAAAAAAAAGGACAAAAAAGTTAATGAAATTTTTTTTTTACTTACCAACTAAAGCGTTTTTTAATATAGATACTGCTGAATTTTTTTAATAAATAAAAAAAAAATACAATTTATCTTATTTATTATAATTGATATCTATAAAAAATGCTTTTTGCTTTCATACTACTGAATGTGAGCCAAAAGAAAGTTTGAAGAAATTGAGCGGTAAAAAATTTTTAAATGCGAGTTTTGTGAAAAAAAAAATTAAAGTAATTGAACTTTTTTTTTGTTTTTAATTAAAAAATCTTTATTTTTTTTTATTTAAACCTAGATTTAATATCTTATAAGTGGCTTAGATCTCCATTGCGTTATATTGATTCACATGCAATTATGAGACCGGACCTCAATTTTAATAGATTCTTAACTTAGTTAAGTAAAAATTTATATTATGAAATGAAAATATTAGTTAATAAAATAGTGTTAAATAATGTTAATACCTAATTTAACAAAGCG